TACTGATGATTGAATCAGGTGGATTACTGATTACTTGTAAACAAATTTTGGCACTGATTATATAATTATGAGTGTTTCCTATTACGTTAGTATAAGTGGCCTTGATCATTAAAATGGCTTATAGCAGTCAAGGTTGTGCTAGTTTTCCATAGCTTTACATGCAATATCAAAACAGAAACACATTGAACTAACACTAAAATAATGTGTATATATGCTGAAAGAATACGAGTAAATACGAATCAATAACTGTGACTAAATGTTCCCGAAGTATTGATGATTGGCACAGGTTGAATACTGATGACTGGTCTACATAGGACTATACCAGGGCTTCCTAGTGTGTGTTGTGTATACATTTAAGACAATATGCAAAGATGTAAATTATAATAATGTTAAATGTCAAAAAAAAAGAATTTTCCCATTTTAAATCGTATCATATGACACTTTCTTTTTAAAATAATTGTAACCGATTGCTCTTTATTACCCAGTTAAATATCTCAGCAGGAATGGACCATAACAGCTACGTTTATAGGGAATTGAGAAAGAATGGGAAACAGGGTATCTGTTTTTAAGTACTCTTTGTGTCTGATTTGGAACTGATACATTTGTGCCATAATAGGAGATTGTTCGAGTCGGCACAATCCAAGATAACGGGATTTGCTCATGGTTTGCAACCCACTTGTTCACTGAAATTTTTAAATCAATATCATTCCTTTTAATTATTTTGCATGTATTTCCATTGTCGCATGGGCCATCCACAACGATCCAATTGAACAGGTCAACAGTCCGGTTTTTATAGTGAGCTTTACTCAAACATGGATAGTCCACACAATAATCTGGTCCGAGTGTTATTCCAAATGAACGTAAACGTTTCCGTAGTTTGTCTGTATATGGCTTTCCATTAGATAATGTCGATATATCGCCATCATAGTCGTGCCTGGAAAAGTAAGTCATATAAGTAAGTGAAGGATAAGTATCTCTCAGTGATTACAAGTATATACAGTGTATGCTTGCAATTCGTGAAGAATCTGATATACATGTTAGACATGTCTTTTTTGGCGAATAATTTACCATGGCAACAACATATTCGATAACAACAAGTCAAATCACACCACACATTCCTATGTATTCTGTAATGCTGAGTCTCAATGCAGAATATAATTTGCACATCATATTTGATTACCAAGCATCAACTGAGAACTGAGGGTATGATTAAGGTGAGTTGGTAGCCTGAATCAACGAACACTTTCAACTACTCCGATCTGACTTGAAATTAACATGCACCAAAAACATGTTATAGATTGTAGGATTTGTTTATAACAATTTTTTTTAACAAGCGCACTATATTATTACCATGGACTACCTCATGCTGTAGCCACCTTTTATGGGGTGAGAATACCGCCAAATTAGCTTGGTGTCATTATTTGAACATTGTTTAGTTGTTTGGTCTTTATTTAGAAACTTGTTTGATTATTAATTAGTCATTATTCGGTTATTTGGTCTTTATTTAAACATTAATTTGCGCTTATTCCATTATTGTGTTATTACTGCAGCATCGTATTGCTATTGTTTCATTATTTCAACTTTATTTCTTAATTATTTCATTATTGTGTAATTGTTACAATATTATTTTGTCATTGTTTTATTATGTTACAATTGTGTCGTTATTTAGACATTATCTTGACATTCAATTGTCATAAGATTCGGTTATTTTCACGTCCAAATGTCTTG